GTGATAGTCGGTCAGCTTGCATTTAGTTTTGCGCTTACCATATCAAGTGACTCATGAATCAATGAACGTCGGTCAGTGAAGGTTCCACCACCCAAAGGTTTAGTTGGTTTTAAAACTCACAACTTGAAACATGTTCTTCTAAAAACAAATTGAAATATCAATAGTAGTAGTCCTCTCAAATGCTAAAAACACTCATAACAAAATGAAGATGACAATGAAATGCTGACTTTCAAACACAGTAGATTAAAGCATTTACTTGTCAGCCTTTTAATGAACATCACGTTCAGAAACAAAAGTGACAAATACACTTTTTGCATTTTCAAATCAGTTTAAATCACTTTTTGCATTTTAAAAACAAAAAACTGCACAAATAGGATTTTATAAGCTTCAAAAAAAGAATAAAGATGATTCAAATGTGATTCAATGTGATTTTAGTTTTCCTGTAAACAAGGGTGACCTGGAGAAGGGTGCCCATCCGGACCCTCAACTTTGATTTGGGGATGAAGATTCCTTACAGCATTCGAAAAGCATTACGGAGATTTCTTTGCCTGATAAATTGCATTCGGTTAGATTTGTACAGATTCGAAAGACTCTACCTTTTGCGTTAGAACTTTAGACTGTCTGACGTCAAGGTTTAACTTTTGGGCCAGAATGGCATCCACGGTCTAGTTCTGCGAAGACAGAACTTTTGTAATTCACCTGCACCTTTTGTACTTTTGCAGCCGTAAGCTCCGACGCGAAGAAAATGTGCGTCTGTTTGTGTTTTGTAGCGTCCTAGGTTCCCATGCCTACGCTATACACGCATAGCGCCTGTTGTTCGTAGATGATTGTATATACGCATTACTGCGTGAGTCGCTTTTGGCTCAAGACTTTGAAGCCCAAAACTGCACTCCGCGCCACAGAAAAGTGTGCTCGTCGCAGCTCGCACACTTGAGAGTCCACAAGGGTCTATCGATCAGGTCCAGTGTACTTCACTGCCACTTTGGCGAACTTACCCCTCACCCCCCCCACACACGCCCTTTACTCACTTCATTCGCTCCAACAACCTCAAGCCCTGCCTAACGGCTGGCTTTCGTGGCATAGGATTATACACATATATTAGCCGTAAGTATATAGTGAGTTAGTATATAGCATATTCATATATGATGCATATATGTAAAGACTCTCTGCGTCTTTTTTACTGCAACGCAAGACCAGAGTTGTCAAATAGTTGTTTTCAAAACTGCAAAAAACAGCAAGCGGAGACTGCAAGAATATTGCAAAATTTTGCAAGAAACTATTCAAGAATGTTTGAGAGGCGTGTAATTAAATGGTGGTTTTGTACCGAGTAGAGGACAAACAAAATTTAACAATGGTTAATGGTGACAGAACTCGGAGAACACACGTTTGACACGCTTTCTCTGTTCCTTTTCCCTTTAGCTATTTGTCTTTGTTTTTGCGCTGGCCTTTTACTGCCCCTTTCCCTTTCTATCCTTTTCCTGTTACTGTTCCTTTTTTCCCTTCCGCTTGCCTTTCCTTCCCTTTTCCTGTTACTGTTCCTTTTTTTCCCTTCCGCTTGCTTTTCCTTCCCTGTTCCTTTTTCTTTCCTTTTTCCTTTTCCTTGTCCTTTTCCCTGTTCTTTCCTTTTCCTGTTCCTTGCGCTTGTCCTTGCGCTTGCCCTTTTCCGTTTCCGTCTCCTTTTCCTTTTTCCTTATCCTTGTACTATTCCTTTCCTTTTTCCGTTCCTCACTCCAACAATCCGCCGAGGCAAGGAGCCATGCTCCCTTGGCTATGGGGATTTGGCTCAAATGGAAACTTGTCCAAGGGGGCGCCATTTAAAGGGGAATTGACTACAGGACCCAGTGCGAAGGGAAAATGAAAAGGAAAAAGAAAGTGAGAAGGAAAAAGGAAACGGAAAAGGAAAAGGAAAAGGGAAAGGGAAAAGGAAAAGGACAAGAAAAGGAAAAGGGAAAGGAAATGAAAATGATCAAATTTAATGGAAAAAGTCTATGCGACAGTTTTCCCACAGTTTTCTCGCAATTGTCTTGCAGTACTTCTTGCCGTTTTCTCGCAGCTTTCTTGCAATACTTCTTGCAGTTTTCTTGCGATACTTCTTGCAGTTTTCTTGCGATACTTCTTGCAGTTTTCTTGCATTTTTTGGCAGTTTTCCTTTTGAAAATTGCAAAAAACTGGCAAGAAAACTGCAACCAGAAACTGCAAGAACTAAACTTTGACCTCCCCACGCAGTTTCCTTGCAGTTTGGTTTGCAGACCAACCGAAAGGCAAAAGTCCACACGCGGGCCCCCCTGAAATTCTTGCAGTTTTCCTGCAGTGATCCAGTATACAGGACCCAGTGGCCAAAGCCAGAGGCCAGTCCTGCAAATGCAAATTTTCTTGCAGTTTTCTTGCAGTTTGTGCCCTTGTAGGTTGGAGGCCATCCCTAGTAGGTTTGCAGTTGTTTGGCAATTGTTTACAATTTCTTGCCGCTTTTTAAGCGCTTCCTGACTTGGGTTGTGTGTGGGTTGTCATTTTTTCGGTGAGTAAAACTGGACCTGGAGGTGAGGCCAGGTGGGGCTGGGGAGGTGAGGCCAGCTGCCTGGAACTGGTGAAAGTCGCCAATGGGCTGGAATGTACGCGCGCGAGGCTGGAGGTGAAATTCCACTGCGCTGGAGCGTAGGCAGGCTGGAGGTGAGGCTCCAACTCCAGCTGGAACCAGGGAACTGGTGGTGAAACGCCACTGCGCTGGAGTGTAAGCTGCAGCTTGATTTGAAGCCAGAACTGGAGGCGATGTTCCACCTGGGTTGCGGTGGAGGTGAGGTTCCATTGGAGAAGGTAGCAGTAGCTCAGTAGGAGCGAGTAGGAGTGAGCTCTGCCACAACTGCAAGTTCGCCCAGCTTGTGGGTTGGGCGCATAGTACCTCATTCCCACACTGATCATGGTCTTCAGATGGAAGTAGTGACGTGGGGTGGAAATCGTTTTCAGCAGCAACCCCACAAAAAACCTGCAGCGCGACGCAAGTCTGGCAAGTCTCAAGGTTGGTGATCCCCAGGATGTGTGACAGGTTGGTGATTGGTGGGCAATGAGGCTCTCTGTCTCGCGTTGCAAATCCATCCCAAACGACAAGCTTGAACCAACGCGTCAACCAATCAAGGGACTGCCTCTGTAAGCCCATCCCCGACATTTGCCATGTGCTTCATTGCGCCCTCGTCGACAGCACTGCCGAGCATAGGAAGTCCTCAAGAGTTGAGGTCCTCCTCAGGCATGGAGCTGCAGCCGCTCTGTACTCCCATTGTTCATGGGTCCTCTCCTCACTTCTTTAGCTCTCCCTGCTCTTTGCCCTTCTTGCCCAGCCTTTTGACTCCTTTCCCTTGCCACGACCCTCCGCGTTGAAATCTCGCCATTGCAGCCTCGTTGCGAATCTTTTGCTCCTCTTTCTGCTCCTTGATCGCCTCCTTTGCCTCCCACGCAAACTCAATACCGGACGCTCGGGAGGCAGCACATAGCAACAGCCTCCAACCTACTAGCAATGGCTCCAACCTAAAAGGAATTGCCTCCAACCTATATGCAATGGCCTCCAACCTAGTAGCAATGGCCTCCACCCTATATGCAATGGCTTCCAACCTAGCAACAATGGCCTATCTGCAATGGCCTCCAACCTAGTTGCAATGGCCTCCAACCTAGTTGCAATGGCGTCCAACCTAGCTGCAATGGCCTCCAACCTGGCTGCAATGGCCTCCAACCTGGTTGCAACGGCGTCCAACCTAGCTGCAATGGCCTCCAACCTGGCTGCAATGGCCTCCAACCTAGCTGCAATGGCCTTCAACCTAGCTGCAATGGCCTCCAACCTAGCTGCAACGGCAATGGCCTCCAAAGATCGATGGAGTAGCAAGCGTCAATGCCTCCCTCGCACGGCCCCCTGTGAGTCGAGGGGCCAGTGTCTGGCGGTAATACTGGCGCGCAGGGGGCTGGATCTCGGACTGGTCCTGGCTCCAAATGCCCCCTGAGGCAATCGATAAGGAAAAGTCTTTGCGTGAGGGATTTCTTACGAGACAGCAAAGATTTTTAAAACTATGTTGCTTGGACCTGGTGTGATTTCTTGCGTTTCCCCGCGCTACACCCTGAATGGTGCAGATGTCTTTGGCTGACAGCTTGCTCAGTTGAGGAAGTTGTTGTTGGTAACTATGTTGTCGCATTACCCTGTCTTTCATGATCGTACGTCCTGAAGGGTCATTTGGCCAAATGTTGTTGCCTCATTCGATCTTCTACTTTGGTTTTTGGATTCAACTTCCAGGCTCTGATGGGTCCTTGCCAAGCCCTTCCCATAGTTTGGAGGTGGCCTGACTGGAGGGCGGTTCCTCCGGCGGCGACCGCGAAGAACGCCTGGCAGGTCTCACAGACGGCTTTACCCGCCTTTCCTTCTCGACTTTTTGCGATGAAGTTTTGACGAAGTCGAATTTTTTCTACTTCAGCCCAAACAACTCCTGACTTGCCAGTAGGAGGGCTGGCTCAGAAAAATCCTTCGACTTCCTTTCAAGCGACTTTCCCTCCCTGGATAGGGAGAGTCCGCCGAGTGGGCTCTTCGCCTTGGCTGTCGTGCTCTCCTCGGCCTTCTTCTGGCACACAAGCTCGCTGAATTTCTCCCCTTCCTGGAGCACGCCTGTCCAGATTCGGACTGTATTCACCGCAAGGTCGAAGGCCGGCGGGGAGATCGTCGAGAGTAGTCCAGGATCTATTGCGTACCCTGCAGAAACTGCAGAGGATCTCAGCCTCCCCACCAGTAAGGAGGCCGCAGTCACTGCAAAGGCTCATCGACTGTTCGAGCCAAACTCTATGAGAAAAAAGGACTACAAAACTGGTCGTCGTATATTCCGGGGGGGTCAATCCATGTATATACGTAAATTCAGGCCGTGATTTTTAAGCAAAGGAAGCCAAGGCTAAGACACTCCTTTTTCTTCGCAATCCCAATCTACCTCCTTAACAGTTGCTTTCCTCATGTTCCACGTTTCGTCTTTTCAACCGGCCTTCTTTTCGACCTTTCTCAGGATATCTTCCGCCAAACCCTGCAGAGTTGTTCAATCGCAAAATGTTAAGAACTCGATTCTCTAAATAAAAAATAGATTCTACACAAACAAAACAAAAAATCCACATCTCTGTTGTTCTTGCCTTGAAGTGGCGCAGGGGAGTCTGGCTCGCCCACATCCTCTTGTCTATCATCTTGCACCTCGAGAAAGAAACTCGGGAAGAAGAAAAAGGAAAGGTGAAAAAAAGGTTACAGGTTTCGAAAAAAAAAATATATATATATATAACTATTCAATCTGCTGGCACACTCTTTTCCTCCATACTGAAGCTCCACAGGGTGGCAAGTGAACGCCACCATGAAAAGGATCCTCCATCTTCGCCCATCACTTCCAAGCTTCTTCTTTCACCAGTAGGACTTGCCAAGCCGAAGGAGCCAGGCCCAGAGTAGCAAATCTGCGGACCTGTCGGAACACAGCAGGGAAGAGGTGTGCAAACAAAAGAACAAGGTCACGTGAACTTGCAGGGATTTTCTTCAAGAAAAGTAGTGACGCCGTCTCCTGCACATAGATCTCCATAACTTTTGAGGATATCCAGCGACCTTTCCTACGTGTATACTCACCATCTTCTGTTGTCTGTAAGTGCCATGTGGCACCACCAGAACGCAAGCTACCGGGGTCAAGCGCCTTCATATCACCAACTTTCTCAATCGGGAGTTTGAGGGCGGACAACACATCTCTGAACCGACTTCGAAAGGTCTGCCCCGACCACGGCCAGAGGCGCACACCAGGAGAAAGATTGCCAAAACAAAAATCAACGACCTGTAGGAGGTCGGGGACATCAAGCTTAGCCGACTGGTGTTTTGCTCCTGTCTTCCGCGTTTTTGGTTCTCTGATGGATAGGAGGCCAAATGCCACTGTGTTTTCCACATCTCTTGGCAACAAAAGCTCTGACCGCGTGGCCGCAAAAAGTTCGCCCGGTCTCAACAATGCTCCCCAGCACAGGGCTACGGACCCTGCGAAATAGGTCCACCCCCAGGTCAGGCTCACTGTAATCATGCTCAACAAAACTTGCCACGGCATTGCAACGTGATGGCTACCCGGTTCGGCGTAAAGCCATGAAAAAGCAAAATCCCACGCCCCCTGCATCAATCTTCTAATTGCAGGCTTCTTCGCTGTAAGCGCGTTAATAGTTTCTGCAAATTGGTTGTAGGGTTTGCCAGCATGATAAAGCGCTCTTCCAAAACGAGTTACCACAGCGTTTATATCATCAATGCAAGTGACATGTTGATCTAACAAAGCAGCAAAATCGACCCCTTCAACTGCAAGCCACGCCTCAAACTGTGACCAGTATCGATCACGCAGCCTGCCAGTTATAGGCAGTGTTGGCCGTCCCAAAGGCAGCGGCTCGTTGGCATTTCGGTCAGGTGCTCGCACGATCTCTGCCGGGGTGGTGGGTCTCATGGCATCGCACCCAGTCGCGCCGGCTAAAGCAAGCACCCCAAGGAGCAGCACCCGAGCATGGCAAGAGAGGTGACATTGGGAAAGTCCAAGTAGACCTCGAAGGAGAAGACAAAGGAAGTTGCAAATGCCAGAGAAGGCAAGATGCCTGAGTGCGCTGGGCAGAAGACCAGGGCATGGTCTAGGCATGAGACCAGGAGATGCGGCCGGGAGGGCCTTCGCCTGGATAGCCAAGGGTGGAGTCAAAGTCCATTGATGAGAAATCCACATCAGGGCATTTGGGGCTCCAAGCTGACGAGCCAAAGTCAAGGCCAGAGCATGGATAGTGGCGCCTTCTCCAACTCTTGAAATGCTGCATTGCGACGAGAGGCTTCCATATCAAAAGCGTCAGCCTGATCCAGTTTGAAGCCCATCTTCGAGAACATTTGATCTGCGCAATGCTCCATATGTGCTGCAGAGGAAGGTTTGTCCAATCTAAACCATGAACTGGTTCACGAAGTGGCCTTTCTCTCGTTGGATCATCTGCGCAGTTGAGCCTGGTCGGACAGAAAGGAGTAACCATATACAGACCATAGGCAATCATAGTGGATGCAATCCTTCGCAGCACTGTAGAGAGAGCTGTAGAGGCTGACCGACCAGGGCGCAGCGAGTGACGTTGGAGTCCACGAAGTTGAGGAATGTGCAGGGGCCGGATTTTGCCCTATCTTCAACCAGCCTTTCAACTGCCTTGAGCTCCAAGATGTTGATATGAGCTACCTGCTTGAACTTCCATGCTTTCTTAACAGCCCACTGACCAGTAAGCATAAGCTCGTTGACCAACTGGTTCTCGAGACCGACAACTTTACACGTCACATCATCAGCCCTGTAGTTCTTGATCAGCTTGATGGAATGCTTTAGGGTCCAGGCCAAGGTATGCGCGAGCTCAGGAGTATAAATCGTAGAGGCTTTGGTATAGACCCCTTGAACTGGAACATGGTTCCACAAACCTTTGCATCTTCTGGCCACGCTCTGCAAGTCGAGATTGATGCCCAGCATAGCGAGCGACTTTTGGTGAATGGACCCAAACTGGCAAGAATCAAATCTCTCTTCACAAGCTCCATCCCAGGAGAGCGCTGCTTGATAGGAAGGCAGAAATTTGCTCAGGGCGGTGAAAGGCCTCTCTAGAAGACCAGCTGCTCCATGAAGTGAAGCCTTCTTCATGATCTGCAGCCCTCGAAGGAAAAGCAAATTCCCCAACCTCGTTTGTGGATCTCTGAGGTTGAAGTCGTATGGAACAAGTCTGCTCCGAAGGGCAGGACGCCGCATGATACTAAAACTGGTACACGGGGGCTCCACAGCCACTGCCAACAATCGTCCAGATTCCAGGAGATAGTATATCCAGGACAAGCTCGTATTCCTCGGATACAGGGGCGGGCCGACAGAGACCTGCAAAGGCGCAATGGCCTGAGTGATTCTGCTTGATCCTGCGTAGATTTCGATGAAGCCGAAGCTATAAGCTAACAGTCGGGATGGTCCTCTACAGTCTCCATGCCCAGGTGAGTCATCATCAGAATCAGAACTGTCCAGTGTAGGGGGCAGCTCGCTGTTCTCTTGATTCAACCTGGTATAGGCTCCCTTTGTTCTGCATGTTCGCGACAGCATTCGCACCAGTTCCTGCCCAAGGAACGCACTGCATACAGCTCCTCTGGACTCTGAGGCATCGGTCGCATACATCATCTCGTCAACTTCGACCGCGATGTCAGACATCATCATCGGAGCAAGAACTGCACACAATACAAGCTCCTGAGCAACTTTCCGAGGTAGAGGAACCAATGCACTGTCCTGAAGTTCAGTGGTGGAGTCAACCTGCATAAAAGCCTCATTCAAGAGGCCCATCATAGGCCGACGGTAGAGGAGTATAGAAACCCAGGCGCCAACATGGCACCTATGCAGGGAGGCTGTCGTGTACGGCAGGGCGCAAAGCTGCAAAGTCAGGAAGGACAACGAAAGCCTCTTCTTCGCTGGAGCCCCGACGGTATATAGCCCCTCAGCCACTGCTGAAGGACTGCAGTTGGTGAAAGCGCCAATGGTTTTGCCCTCATTCTCGGCCACAATGTCCTCCTCAGGAGAGCCAAGAATCTCATTATCAGCAAAAGCCTTCTGAGCAGTCACGTAAGCCTTGTACGATCTGGATTCGCAAGGAGCTGTCCCTATAGGATCGATAGATACGCTGAAGAAGTCGTCAATCACCAGCCCTTGCACTGCACTATCATCGTAACAAGGACGACTGGCAATCAGCTGAACATCTTCACTCAAAAGGCCATAGGACTGTAGAAGCTGGGTATGAGCATCTGTTGCTATTTCGACCCCTGCGTGATCACCTTGCAAGATACTATCAAAGCAGGCCCAAAGCAGCGAAGCATCTTGATCAACCAACCTCTGGGATTCCTGAAGCAGGAACTGCTGGTAGGCTGAAGTTTTTTTGACCAGGTCAGCAGGAAGGCCCGGGCCAACTGTGTTCGCGATGGCTCTTGCCCGCGTTACCCAAAGCTGGTGGTAGAAGTCGCGGCGGTCTGAGATCGACACATAGACCCGATCTGTAGCCAGGTTCACTGAAAGATCACATAAATCTTGACCTGCCGGTAGATTCGACGATGGGCCCTTCACCACACACTCTACAGCATTGCGCCCACGGCGGTCTCCAATCTGCCTGTCGCGATCAGGGGCTTAGCAGTTGAACACGCGTACTAGCTCATGCTTGGCTCGCGACTCAACTCCCTCCCGATGTAGGCAAAGGAGCCCATGACAACAATCCCAAAGATGAGCTAAAGAGGCCACCGTCTCGACGGGATCACGAAGCTTGGGAATCTCCCAGGCAGCAGGAATTCGATCAACTTTGAGGACTTCAGGCTCTCTGTAAGCCATCACCAACTCATCACTCAGGAAATCTGTCACGTCCCATCGGGCCCGGCCATAAAGGACAAGTCGAGCAGGATCTAGATCATGGTACGGCTCCAGTTCTGGAAAAGTGGTGTTATTCTTGGCAACTTCAAAGCCCGCGAAGAAATTGGAATATGGAGAGGCGGAGCAACCAAGCCATGTGAGCATATCGGTCAACTCCCCCAGGCGTGCAATGAGCTCTGGATTCCTCCGACCAACAGTGCGGGCATCAAAAACCCATTGACGCCGTCCGACTTGATAAAGGCTCTCACCCTCTTGTAAAGAGCACGATGAAGATGGTTGGGAGCCCTCCACATAGTATCTGCAGAGCTAGGAACACCGTCTGCCCTCCAAAAGTTGAGCGCCATGCAAAATCACATGAACCACCCTTGAAAGACTGATAGTTTTCCTCCTCTTGCTGGAAACATTCGTGGGCATCCGGTTGAAGCAGCCCTGTGAGGGCGGCGGCACAGGGAACAAGGCCGGTGAAGGAGGTGCCCGTGAAGAACACCTTGACGTACGGATGGAGAATGCCAAAAATGAAGAAAAGGACGAGCGAGACCTCAGGACCAGTGTTGTCAGCTTGGAACACCATAACGGATAGCTCACTTGTCTGATCTCTCTGCGCTCGGACCCGCTCGACCCGTCCTTGGGAGGTTCAGCCCTTTCTGAGAGGTCGGGACCAAACCAACCCCAGGAACTGAAGAAGAGCCCAAAGGCCTGGAAGGTTGACCCCTTTGCAAGTCGGCTCGGGGCGTGTCTGCTCAGGGTGCCCCCCTTCTAGGTCCCTCTGGAGGTCTCTTGCAAACTGATGATCCTTCGCACCAGGATTGAATTCAACGATCGGGAACATAGTCATCATTGGGCGTCCGACGCCCCCTTGGGCTTCTTTGGAAACTTGGGACGCCTTTTGGGACTTGGTGACTCTTCCTCTGTCATCGCAGTGCCCCCTCCTTGAGATTTCTTTCCCTTTGCCTCCATCCTTCGAGCCTGAAGAACGTCGATCTCTTTGAGGTAGGCGAGATTGATGGAGGCGAGCTGAGGGGAAATGAGCGGAGAGAACGGTCTTCCCGCTGCTGTCATTGCAGTTTCTCTCTTCTGATGGTGCCTTTTGTTGAACTCGAACTTGTTCCTCCTGCATGATAGTCCAGGCCCAGATTGCCCCCTCCTTGAATGAGATGCGAGACCAGGGCATTCAGCGCCATCGACTGCTGAGATAGGATCTGCTCTGGAGTCTCTGGAGGAGCTTTCAAAGGATCCAATGGCTCGTCGAATTGCAGGAGAGCTGGTCCAGAAGTCTTTGGAGAGGCCCGAGTCCGAGGTGGAGGACCCAGAAGCTGCAAGGCTTTCGCCGGAGCGCGAACAGTCCGGGCGATTGAAGTTTTTGAGATACCGGTGGCATCTTGGGGATAACTGCTGAGGTGCCCAAAGAAGCGAGCCCGCCTGCAAGAGTGGCAGATGCAGGAGCTGTCACTTCTGCCAGTTGCTTGCTCATAGTTTCTCCTCCCTGAGCCTGAGCCATGATCAAAGAGACCTGAGCTTGCAAAGCCGACAGCTGTTCGGCTAGGGCGGCATTGGTCATACACTTTGCAGCAGCTTTCAGCGGCCTTGGTCGTCGGCTCTTCTCGAGCGCTGTAAAAATGGACTCTTGATGCACCTTCATTCTCAACCCAGTTCATTGCCTGAGCTAAAAGATCTGCAGCCGAAGGAATGGCGGCATGGTGCACCTCATGAAAGCTGTGGATCTCCTCAGTTGAGTCCGTCACGGGATCGTAGTCCCTGAGGAGGTTCAATACATTTGCAAAATCTGCAACCACCACCTCGCCTTTGAAACCAGCAAAGTAAGCAGTTCCAGTGAATTCATCATCAAGAATCAAATCAACTTCAAAGGTAGTAGCCGGCCCCAACAGAGCGTCCTCTTCAACCACTCGGCCAGGAGCCACAAACTCATCCTTCAAAAGGCCTGTAGGCAGGGCGATCATCATCCCCTTCTTCCGTGCACCTAGGGCAACAGCAAAAGACTGAATTTCATGACCACTATCCGTAAGATCTCCAGGGATGTAGAAGATCAGCAGGGAGTGGTCTGAGCTATCTGCTGCAAAGTTCACTGAGCTGCGCTCCATCGCCATAGTGGAGGCACTGGAATAGAGGCACCTGCACAGAAGATATGGAGGTGCGTCAACGAAGGCAGCCGCTCGACCTGAGTGATGTCAGGATAATCTGCCACCAGACGATCACCGTCAGCTTGTGAAGTGACCCTGACAAAATCGAAGCCTGAGCCCTTTCGAAGGATCCAATGCGCGTAGTTGGAGACTCCTGGATTGTAAGGGACGGATCTCTCACAAAAGGCTCTCACCCAGAAGCCAACTTTGGAAGACTCCCAAGCACGATCTTCCGCTGACCCCTTTGATGAAGTGAGGTTCCGCTTTGCAAGCTTCAAACAAAAATCTGGCAGCTCTGGAGGGCCAGATTCAAACTCAACCACCACTGGCCGAGAGAGGAAGTCCGGCGGCGCACCAGGAATGGCAGTCCCGTCTGTCACCAGTTCCCAACCGCTGCGTCTTGAGGGAGTGGTATACCCTTGGCTGCTCCTCCTCCGGCACGATGATCTGTCAGCTCCCTTGTAGCCAACGTGAGATCTCGAAGGGCTTGTGTTAAGGACTGAAGGTCTTGACGAAGCCGCTCTTGATCACTCATGCAAGTAGGCGTTGAGCCGCCTAGAAGACTGAGAGCGGGGTCGATCGGAAGCGACCCAAGCCGTGAAGGCAATTGGCCTGAGAAAAGTCCAAAAGAGCCAAAATCCAAGACAAAGGCCTGCGAGGAAGGGAAGGGCAACTGAAGGATAGCAGTGCAGGGGGCAGGAGAATGAGCCTGAAAGCAACAGAAGAGTAGAAGCACCCTTCAAGAAAGTGCCCAGCAAAGCATACCCCAACCCTCGAGCTTGAAGTGCCGCAACGAAATCACAGTTAAAGCACATATTATATATATATTATGTTTTTTGTTTGAGTCTTTGCCTCAAAAGCAAAATCAAACGACATCCAAGTCGTCTGAGGACCGAACCAATTCAAAGCTCTCAGGGCCAAGGCGGCCCAACCTCTTTCGCCGTCTAAACATTTCCAAGATTGGATCCAAATTGGATGTTTTTCGTGGCTTTTGTTTGTTCTCCCTTTTTTTGCAAATTGGATCCGGTTTTGGGGTTGTGTTGTTTATTCTTTTTCCCCAATAGCCATGCTATGGGGTCTTGCAAAACTAATAGGCGGACGGGCGCCGTCGGGTCACCGTCCGAGCTGGTGGGCAGATGGTGTCCCGATCCGGTCATGTTTTGATGGTGTGCCGGTCATGTTTTGATGGTGGCGCGGTCCTGT